ATACTAATCTTATATGCAGGCACTGGACTAAAAATACATTCAATCAGTCATCGCTCCCAAAATGAATTCAACGGGTCATCTTGTTAATGCTATAAATTAATTACAGCAATAAAAGAAGAATTCATCATGAACAAGAACATGAACAACATCACATTAAACCACAAAAATTCCAAAATTACATTTCCCTTACATTCAACTTCCAAAAGTGCATTCATCTTTGCCACGTTACATTCATTTAGTTGACTAGTGCTATACGCTGTATTAACAAAAACGTAAATGGCATTAATAAAAACACACTGACAAGCTATGCAATATCGTGTTCATAATCTAATGCGACTCATCTGCGATTATGAAGGCGATATAGCAGTGATCTACGGCTCTGTGTATTAAATGCTGCTCCATCTGAAAGCACGTGATGGAGATTTACTATTAATCACAGAACCGGCTTTACTGACGAGATGCGCGTGACAATCACATGAGATTTATCGTGCAGCCCTAAGTTTGTTTGTTGATCACAAAGTACAAAGTAGATGAGGAAAACTAGGGTGCCGGGTGTATTCAAAGCGCTGCCATTACTGTCTAGAGTGCATGGAATGGTGCGCTGTGATTGGTTGTTAACTGTTTACAGTGCATGGAATGGTGCGCTGTGATTGGTTGAGCGGATATATCGCATTCTGCAGAGAAGGGATATTGGCGTTTGTCGCGGTTTGGAAAGAAAGGGAGAAAACATGACAGAATAACTCGGCGGATATCGCATTTTGTGTAAAATAAAAAATTGACTTTTCAATACCGACCTGATACATTTTAATTATACATAATTTTTATAGATTTTTTTAAATTTGATCTATATTTTTTTTTTTCGTTTTTTGATACTTATTTTGATAATATATTAATGGTTTCATATATTTTATATATTTAATTTATATATATATATATATATATATACATGTTTTTTTGCATGTTTCTCATTTAGCCATTTCTAATGCATTCAGCAGCTGAATGAACAAAATAAATGCAACATTTAAAATATACATATTATTTTTATTATGTATATATTTCTGTTGTATATTTTTAGATTTAGTTTTATTATTGTATTTATTTATCTTTTTGCATATTTCACATGTGGCAATTTCTAATGCATTCAGCAGTTGAATAAACAACATAAATGCAACATTAAAAATATACATATAATTTTTTGGATGAACAACATAAATGCAACATAAAAATATATATATATATTGTTTTTTTTTTGTGTGTGTGTTTTACAGTTGGCGGTTTCTAATGCATTTAGTGTAAATGCAACTTAAATTGTTTTATTTATTTATCATTATTAGATGTATTTTATGTGTATTTGTTTTTTATTTTTGCATGTATCTCATGCGTTCAGCATCCCCCCCCCGAAAAACTGTGTGATTATGTTCTATATATATATATGTGTGTGTGTATGTATGTGTGTACTGTTATACAAGCTGTACACTCACTACTTTACATTGTAGCAAAGTGTCATTTCTTCAGTGTTGTCACATGAAAAGATATAATAAAATATTTACAAAAATGTGAGGGGTGTACTCACTTCTGTGAGATACTGTATATATATGAACAGATCCCAAATATCCTTGATTTAATAAAGGACATTTTAAAGTCAAAGTCTCTCTCTGTCTCTCGCGCGGTGCGTGTGACTCAAGGTTTCTGCCGTTTTGCCATGCCAACAAGGCCATTTCGGTTTATTTACCTTGAGAGACACTGAATGAGGGATTGAGGGAAGAACAGGGGGATTTTAATGGATGAGAGATGAATGAACGCTCAGGACTTTAATGAATAATATTAATACCGACTCTACTCCTCCTCTCCTCTCCTCCTCTCATCTCCTCTTCTCTCCTCCTCCTCCTCTCCCTCCTCCTCTCCTCTCCTCTCCTCCTCTCCCTCCTCCTCTCCTCTCATCTCCTCTCCTCTATCTCCTCCTCCTCTTCTCCTCCTCCTCTATCTCCTCCTCTCCTCTCCTCTATCTTCTCCTCCTCTCCTATCTCCTCCTCCTGTCCTCCTCTAGCTGGGCCCTGAAGCAAAACCGGTTGAGAATCACTGATATTGATCTGTCCTAGACTCCCGTTCCGGCCCGTCTGTCTCCCCAACAGCTCCTCTTCTGTGGTTTATTCAGTGTCTATTTTTGTCTTCCTCTTTCACCCCAAATATGTGGCTGTCCTTTCACCTGCACTCCATGCTTTATCTGTTTCATCCTTTACTGTCCTGTCCTTAGTGCAGCCCAACTGATCTCAGTCACTCCCCTCCTCCCCTCTCCTCTCCTCTCCTCTCCTCTCCTCTCCTCCTCCTCCTCTCCCTCCTCCTTTGTTGTAAAATGACAAAACCACACAACAAAATTATTAAAATAAAAATGGAAAATATGAAAATAAAAAATTATTAAAAATATTTTAAAAAAAACTATAACAGTATCTCAGTGATACTAAAATACTAAAAATACTAACATTTCAGCGATAGAGAAAAGTAAACTTAATTCAAAGGAAAAACAAGATTATTTTTCTTAGCTCATAGACAATATTTTTTCTTGCTTCAGAAAAAAAGGCTAAATATCTTATTTTGCTTTTTAAGTAAATGTATCTTGATTTGTAAATGTTTTGATATTTGTAACAAGACAAAAATACTGAGCAAGAAAATCATTTTTGCAGTGTATACTGTAGTTTAATTGTGAGCATTAATGTATGAATATATATGATGTTGGTGTTTGCGAATGCATGAAATTAGGTAGGTTCCAACTGAAGGATGGAAATATTAATGAGGATGAATGAAAGCGTCATGCAGCTCCGGTTCAGTCCTCTGATTGTTTGTCAGAGTCGCACTGACCTGTTGTATGAATATATATGATGTTGGTGTTTGCGAATGCATGAAATTAGGTAGGTTCCAACTGAAGGATGGAAATATTAATGAGGATGAATGAAAGCGTCATGCAGCTCCGGTTCAGTCCTCTGATTGTTTGTCAGAGTCGCGCTGACCTGTTGCCATGGAGACACACACACACACACACACACACACACACACACACAGAGACAGAGGTTGTTGTGTATGTCAGGAAAGCAGAACTGAGTATTCATATTCCTCTTCATGTTAGTCAAGGTCTCCTGCACTAATAACGGTAGTAAAGATTACAGCAGTTACAGACACGTGAACATGACATTCAGCATAGAGAATCAGAGGCCAGATGTTATGACTGTTATGAGCTTTGTGATGACAGTTACTTCATTAGTTATTTATTTATTTTAGTGCTGTCAAAATTAGCGCATTAACACAGGCGATACATTTTTTCAATCAGCCGGTATACTGTGCTTGTAGCATGTGTTTTTGAATTGCACAAATGCGGCGGCACGAGCTGTATATCATTTCATATTAAAGCGCATGCAATGTGGTAGTTATGTCTTCACTTACCGTATTGTCCCGAATATAAGACGATGTTTTTTTCTTGGAAATACATCTGAAAAAACTCAGTCGTCTTATATTAAGGCTCTAGACTTTGACATGTCAATAATACACCAGCAACAATAGGTGGCGCCAAATACTCATAAAACGAGTGTGCCATGAAATACGTAATGTAATGCGTGTTGTAAAGATCGCGAGTAAAAACTAAAGAGAAAGAAAAGCTTACAGCTGCACGAGTCGTGACTGTCACGTTAGCCTGATGCGACCAAACTCTCTTTGTGATTTTAAAACGTAAGACAGTACCCAGATCTGAAGACTACAGTAAGATTTAACTTCTACTGTTAATAAGATTGTGGTAGGCTACTATTAGATGGATAGCCTAAACGTCCTGATTCAGATGGGCAACCTGTTTATTTTTTATTTTTTAATGGTATATCAAAAAGTGTATATTTTTTTAATGTGATTATTGGTACATTTTACCAGTTTTTACCATACTTTCAAAACAAAAATTAAAATAGGAAAAATATGCAATATAAGAATAATTGAAGACAAAATGTGTTTTACTGAGAAAAAACAAGATTTGGTTTTTAAAAAGCCTTTTTCCAAAAGCTACATCTGGAAAAATGGGGGTCGTCTTATAATCAGGGTCGTCTTATATTCGGGCCAATACGGTAAGTCATGAAGTTAACAAAAAGGCGATGAAAGCTGCCTTAAAACTGTGCATGTAAGTATTTGTTATATGAGTCAGATTTAAGAACATGTTTCTGAAATGCAGTGCTTTTCCAATTTTGTAACAATTTTTTTTCCCTTTGTTTTTTTTTTTCATTTTGGAAAAAGCTTTCTATTATTATTTTTTCAATTTTTATCCTTTTTTCTTATTTTGGCTTTTCTCTTTGTAAATATCTTTCATTTTCTTTTCTTTTTTTCTATTAGTTTTAAGTCTGTCTATTTTTTTCCTTCTGTTTTTGGTGTGAATGTGACCTGGACATGTTTCTGTGAGATTCACCCAAATCGGAAAGTGTGTTTAATTTGAAAAGACGCGAGGCTTTTGGCCAAAAGTCTTCAGTCTGTCTGTTGAGAGTTTTTGTTCTCTCATGTCTGTTTTTTACTCATGTTACTTAATTTCTCATACGGCTCACGTGTAAGGCCTCGCTCACATACGCCTTTGTCGCATGCAAACGGCGGGATAAACTCGACGGCCGCGGCTGATGAAATATTTAAACGTGAAAACCTCATTACCTGCGACACTGTAATTACTCTGGTGCGTGTGAAACGTCGCATTAGTCACGTCTCGAGTTTAATCAGTATGTATACGAGTAAAACCGAACGCGTGGCCGCCGGAGGGAAACACCCGTAACAAACACACTCGTCAAACCTTCAGCCGGTTACGTAACAGCGGCTCGTTAGTGAGGGGAGACCCTTCAGTTCACTTCTCAGAGTTTAATATGTTTGGACCGACTGTAAACGGCTTTATGCTGCTTCAAAACACATACAGCAAGAGACATACACTTTGCTTTATACAATAACATTATACAGTTTACCTCATTGACCCTTTGACCTGTGTGACCTTACAGGATCCGCCTCAGCAGCGTCTGCCGCCTGTCAGAGAGACATACGGGCTGAACCTGCTGGCCATCCCGCCGGATGAAGACGTCCTCATATACCACAGGTCAGAAATACAGGAAAAATAGTTTAATATTATTACAATCTAAAACAGCTGTTTTCTATGTTAATATGTGTTAAACTGTAATTTATTTCTGTGATGCGCAGCTGTATTTTCAGCATCATTCCTCCAGTCTTCAGCGTCACATGATCTTCAGAAATCAGTATAATATGCTGATTTGCTGCTCGAGAAACATTTCTGATTATTATCAATGTTGAAAACAGTTGTGCTGCACAATATTTTTGTGGAAACTGTGATACATTTTATTTTTCAGGATTCACAGATGAACAAAGTTCAAAAGAACAGCATTTATTTGAAATAAAAATCTATTTTAAATGTCTTTACTGTCACTTTTGATCAATTTAATGCATCCTTGATGAATAAAAGTATTAATTTCTATGTAATTTAAATATAATTTATAAAAAAAAAATAGGATCTATTGAAACAGACTCATATCGAACAGCTGAGTCTTTGGCCATTTTCAAAAAACGTCTAAAGACATAATTTTCGCGCTAGCTCCTGACGAACTAATACTAGCACTTACCTATTCTATTCCATTCCATTCTATAAAAAAGAAAACCTAGCTATGTGCACTGTGCTAGACTAACTGAGACTTGTCACAGCACTTGAATATTGTTGCTCTCTCATTTGTCTGATTGCTTCCATTGTCCTCATTTGTAAGTCGCTTTGGATAAAAGCGTCTGCTAAATGATTAAATGTAAATGTAAATTGTGCACAGATCTCATGTCACGTGGTCCTCTTTCAGTCAGGATCAATGGGAATCATGGGATTTGACCTCAGTGATCAGGAATATCTTACACAAAACCCAGAAGGCTATTATAAGACGGTCAGGTAGCGTGTGAAACGGTGAGATCTCACGTGTGTCACATCTGAGTGTGATGAGCTGAAGGATGCAGCAGCAGCTGGGCTTCACATATTCTTTTACCCTTCAAACCACTTTCATGTTCCTGTCACTCACACACTCATTCACTCCACACACACACACGCTCACACTCTCATTCACTCACACAC